AGTTAATGGGCCATTAGCTTTATCAATTTCTTTTTGAACCATGACAATTTTCCTCATGATATACTCCCTAATAAACTCCAAGCAACTGATAATTGGCTTATCACGACCCTTCACTATCTTGCTATTCAAACTCTCACACATATTATTCAACACAGCATCACAATGTGCCCTCCCTAATAAAACACAACTGTATTAGATTATTTTTAAAAATTATACACTTATAAACATAATATTATATACCTGAGAAGTGGGATCTGGACCAGTGCTTAGGTGGAATAGAATTAAGCCAGTCATATGCTTCACTATTAAGTTTCTTTAATTCTTCCATGGCACTGTTGAATTGTGGTATGGTGGTACATGTTGCACATTTCCAAAGACAATCCTTGAATTCCTTGCCCCTCCATTTACGTTTCATGTTCTCATGAAGATGCCTTAGGCAATATCTATGCTCTGCTGCTGGGAAAAGTTTCTCAAGTGCAGGCAATAACCCCTAAATCATCAAAAGAGTGAGGTTGCTTATTGAATTGTAAAACATGCATGTGAAAATGAATGGAGAAATTTATTTACCTTCTGTCTATCTGATATGAAAGTGAAGTTGGAGTTTGCATACAAACCAAGATCATCTCCTAAGTTAGTTAAAAACCAGGTCCATGAATTAAAGTTCTCTGCTTCAACAACTGCATATGCCAAAGGGTATGTGCAATTGTTCCCATCTAAACCCTGAATTATCATGTCAAACACAGTAATAAGCAAACAATTAACTATGGTCAAACATTAATCAAATACTAAAATATGATTATGCACATACCACTGCTGTCAGGATCATACCATGGTATGGACCCTTCATGAATGCACCATCAAGCCCTAGTAAATCTCTTTTCCCTGCTGCAAATCCACTTTTCAGTGGACCAAGACAAATGTATACTCGTTCAAATACCCTGGTCTCAGATGCATAACATGGTTCACTTTGCACTTGAAGTTTGACTGTGGTGTTTGGATTTCTACTCTGCACCTCCTGTAAGTAGTCTCTTAGACATGAGTACTGAGCAGTAAAATCTCCCCTAATTGATTCCAGGGCTTTCGTTTTCGCCCTATGAACTTTCATGTCTGACAATCCAAGTTGGTATTTCTTCTCAAGCATCTCACGTAATGCTCTAAGTGGTATTTCTGGGTTTGCCTCCACTGTGTCAACAATCTGTTCAGAGAGAAACTTGTAGTTACATGCCCTAATTTTCCTTGTTTGAAGGCACGTATGTTGCTTTTCATAGGTCTTAACAGTCCAGTTAATGTCTTTTTTCCACTTACTCACTAGTAGGACCCATGGGCATTTATGAACAGAACCATCTTTCACTTTCTTTTTCTTTTGACTTGGTCCCACTTTGTCATTACTTTTGCTGGTCCCACCTGTTTCTAATATCCCAAGGTTTGGTATTGTCCCTTTGCAAACCACTCTAATCCTATTTTTGTCATTCTTGACGAAGTCTAACTCCCTTCTACTCTGTATGGAATGAAGATAAATTTGTTGCTTAACTTCCTTGGCTGTGCTAAAAGTCTGGTGGATGTAAAATGGATCTTTGATAGCAGCTGCTTCATTCTTATGTGCTCTTCGTAAATCTCTTATCTTCTTCCTTTTTTTACTAGCTTCACCCTCATCTGATGAAGATGCAGATACAAATTCTTCAGTGTTTATAACCTCTAATTCTTCATCACCTTCTACTGCTTCATCTCGATCATCAGGAAAACTTCCAACCCACTCCACCTCTTTGTCAATGTTGAGGTGAAAGTTCTTCATATCAACCTCTGGATCATCTAACAAATTATCTTCATCAACTATGTAATCGCTATCTTGACTGTATTCACTATCTTCAGTGTCATCACTATCATGACTGTCTTTACTAGCTTGACTGTCTTCACCTGCTTTTTCACTATTTGGTTCATCTTGTTCCATAGGAGTCCCACACCATTCAAATGTATCATCCCAACCATCAACATTAGGACATGTGCTTCCTATCATTGGTTCAGTCAAAGGGCTTTCGATTCTTGGTATATAGGCAGGGGTTGACTCAACTGTTTCACTCAATGTAACAAGGGGTTGTTCCAAGGTTGTTTCAAGTAATGTACTAGGGGGTTCGTCCATAGTTTCTACATTCTCAAAAACAGGGGCTTCTTCACTAGGACAATCCCCTGAATTTGACCATGTCAATAACAAGCTTTTACGACAAAGGGACTCAGGAATTTCGTGTATCTTTATCTTTGCAGGGTTTGGGGACATTTGATACGTATGGAGCTTGGTTTCCCAAAACTCTGTATACACTTCTATCACCTTGTGTTCATACACGTATGACCTAAAGTGGTTTATATCTTCGTCACAACCCAAAGCATATAACCCAAAATCTAAATCCCAGGTTGGTCGTTTGAAATGATAATAAATACTTTTACCTGGTTCCACACAACCAAGCAATTCCATTATCTCGTCCATATCATGCACCGAGAACAAGTCACTATCAATGCCATCAATATATTTCATCTTCCCCTTTATGTATTTGCGGCCTGGAAACTTCGTAAAAACTCCACCATAGTTCAATCGTATCGAGAACATACATGGATTGTCAGCTGCGAACCCAAAAAAAAATTACGTTTTAGGAACGTATAATGGATGATCAACTGAAAATGTAGAAAATTTTACCGTATGAGCTTTGGAGATCGTATTCCTCCCATTCTTGCCTAATCCTCCAGTTCACCATCGTAGAAAACTAGGGTTTTCTCGTGCAATGCTAAGGGTCGACGGAGGATGAAATGAGAAATGATCGGTTATCGAAGTCGCGCCATACTGGTTCATGTATACAAACCCTGAAAAGACGAAAATGCCCCTGCGTGCAAGGCACGTGGGTGGCTTAAACGGAAGGAGTTAACAGTTAACGTGCATAGGGACTAACCATGCAAGATAAATAACAACGAGGGACTGCACGAGTTAAATTTTGGAAATAGGGACTAAACATGCTTTCTGGCATGTGCACGAGGGACCAACGGTGTAATTTACCCTAAAAAATATCTATTTTTACCTTATATAATAATAGTAATAAGAAAAAGGAATAAAATATTTAAAATGCTTTTTTCCACATTCCTTCTAATCATCCCTATCATCTTCTGATTCTTATTCATACCAACAAATATAGTCATCTTCCTTATGCAAACAAACAACTTAATTTTTATATTAGATTGCTAAAATACATACCAAAGTATAAGGCAATTCCTAGATTAAATCATCTCCAAAAGTTGTTTATATAAATCAACAAACAAAAACATTAGTATGAAAATGTTATATAATGGATCAATTATTTTTTATACAATAAGATAACGACAAAACTTCAAAAATGGTCCCTGAGGTTTTCGAAAATATCAAGTTTAGTCCCTAAGTTCAAAAAACCTCACAGATGGTCCCTGTGGTTTCAAAATTTTTAACAAATGGTCCTTTTCGCTAACTCCGTTAGCTTTTGGCCGTTAAGTAAGGGGTATTTTTGACATTTCACTACCCAGGGACTATTTTTGAAGATTTGCTTTATTTAAAAAAAAAAGAAAAAAAATATAATTATTTAATATTAATGGGTCCCATCCTCTCTCTCTCTCTCTCTCTCTCTCTCTCTCTCTCTCTCTCTCTTTCATAACCTAAAGTTTATTGATTACAATCAACCCAGAACCAGATACGAGAATTAAAGAGAAGAAAATGAGCAAAAAATTGACTTTCTATAATGCCTGCTTGTACCAGTCTTGCTTGCAATCGAACACGTAATGGGAACGAGACTCAACCTCTTCACCAACGAAGATGGATGCGAAGCAACATGGGAAATCCGTCAGAGATGTAGAATCAATTTGAGTTCTGATTTTAGGGTTCTAGATTCGATTTCAGTTTTGATTTTAGGGTTCTAGAATCGACTTCAACCTCATAACACACATAGATGTAGCGTTAGATATGGAGGTCTTCATACTCAAAAACCCTTTTGTACATGTTTGTTTATGGTCGTCGCAATCCAATCGAAACCCTAGCAGCTTCTCGCACCAGAGATGGGGGTTTAAAGGGTTTAAAGGGTACGGTGCAAAAGGTTTTTGGAGTATTTTCTGCTGGTATATAAACAAGCTACATGACGATGATGAAGATGGTGGCATGTAACCGAAGAAGTCAGAGATGAAGACGATTTTGAAGATGCAACAATATATGGTTATGTTCTTGATTTGTTTGGGACAAACAAACAACGGGAGGTAGGGGATTTCATAGGAAAAGATGAAATGGTTGACATTACTGGTCAGAGAGAGAGGGGGGGGGGGGGACCCATTAATATTAAATAATTATATTTTTTTTCTTTTTTTTTTTAAATAAGGCAAATCTTCAAAAATAGTCCCTAGGTAGTGAAATGACAAAAATACCCCCTACTTAACGGCTAAATGGTAACGGAGTGAGCCAGAAGAACCAAATGTTAAAAGTTTTGAAACCACAGGGACCATCTGTGAGGTTTTTTGAACTTAGGGATTAAAATTGATATTTTTGAAAACCACAGGGACCATTTTTGAAGTTTTGTCTAAGATAACATAAAGATTCAAGTTCAAATCAAGACAAAACTTCAAAAATGGTCCCTGTGGTTTTCAAAAATATCAAGTTTAGTCCCTAAGTTCAAAAAACCTCACAGATGGTCCCTATGGTTTCAAAACTTTTAACATTTGGTCCTTCCGGCTAACTTCGTTACCATTTAGCCGTTAAGTCAGGGGCATTTTGGGTATTTCACTACACAGGGACCATTTATGAGGTTTTCGGTTACTTTTTTTTTTAAATAAATAAATAAATAAAATTTAATATGCAAGGGTCCCACCTCTCTCTCTCTCTCTCTCTCTCTCTCTCTCTCTCTCTCCGTCCTACCTTTTCCTTCTTACCACATTCATTACAATAGTTTAGCATCAGATCTTTGATTTTGTTTGCATCTGTTTATTACAAGAACATATTTATCAAGTCTTTTCTAACTGAGTTTGAAATTCTAAATATATAGCTTTTTATACGATGGGGGGAAGTTCAATTTCAATCGATGACGATTGGGAATTCGCTGCTCCTTTGAATGGTCTTCGAACTCTGGTTTTGGTTGGAACGACAGGGAATGGAAAAAGCACAACTGGGAATAGCATCCTTGGGAAGGAGTTCCTATCAAGGGCAAGCTCAGCTGGTGTAACCAGTACTTCTGAGCTCAGGACTGTTGTACTCAAAGATGGCCAGATGCTTAATGTCATCGATATTCCTGGTATTTATTGATAGAATCGTATGCTGGTTTTTATCTTGATATAACCTAATCCCTATCTCCATTACAGGACTCTTTGATTCTTCTGTTGATACTGAATTTATTGGGATGGAGATTGTTAAATGTATCAATATGGCCAGGGAGGGTATACATGTTGTTCTTGTTGTCCTTTCAGTCAGGAATCGTTTTTCAAAAGAAGAAGTTGCAATTAATGGCTTGAGGGTTTTGTTTGGTAACAAAATCAATGATTATATGATAGTGGTTTTTACTGGTGGTGATGAACTTGAAGAAAACGAACAGACTTTGGGAGATTTCTTACAAGACTGTCCTCTACTAAGTCGGAGGAGGAGATGTCATCGTCTGAAATCTTTGAGCTTCCTTTGATGCGTTATTGAAAGCAATTGATGGTGGGAGGATCGAGCAGAGTCATTGAAGGCTAACTAGTGGCGACTGTTTGTGTATGTGGAATGTGTGTATTGGGAGTGTGTGTATGTTTTTTATGGTGATCAGAGAGAGAGAGAGAGAGAGAGAGAGAGAGAGAGAGAGAGAGAGAGAGAGAGAGAGAGAGAGAGATGTGGGACCCTTACATATTAAATTTTATTTATTTATTTATTTAAAAAAAAAATAACTGAAAACCTCATAAATGGTCCCTGTGTAGTGAAATACCAAAAATGCCCCTGACTTAACGGCTAAATGGTAACGGAGTTAGCCGGAAGGACCAAATGTTAAAAGTTTTGAAACCACAGGGACCATCTGTGAGATTTTTTGAACTTAAAGACTAAACTTGATATTTTTGAAAACCACAGGGACCATTTTTGAAGTTTTGTCTCAAATCAATTTCACTGATTTTTTTTGTCATACAACCTAAGTGAGATGTCAGAAATGCAAGAAGTATCAACATACATTTAATAATGGGCAAAATAAAAGAAATAACAACAAACTGCAACCGCTATTTCTTGCATTTAAACCAATTTTATTATTACACACACAACATGCACATACAAAGCATACACACACAACCGATAAACCAAACACATACACAAAGCATACATATTAGATTTTTTTAAATACCTTAATAAGACAAACTTGGAAATAAAATGTTATAATTGGGATTTCATTATTGTATCTAACTAAGGGATTTCATTACAGGGATTATTTAAGTCATAAATTGCCATACCTTATTGAACTTTGCATAAAGATAAATTTTTTCCCAACCAACAACACTAAGGCTAATGGACCGATTGGATTGCAAAGACTGTCTAAAGAGAGTTGTACAGACACTGTCACAAAGGTTATTGAACATAAGCCTAATCCCCAATGTTGCTTCTGAATTACCAACTGTTCAGATTACTACAAGAAAAGTACACATTATACCTAAAATACCCTCAATAAGACACATATAAAAAATAACATATCGTGTGTGCCTGCATTTCAGCAAGAAGATGCCTTTTAGATGCATTAAAACTTTCAACAATTTCCAACCTAGTTTTCAGATTGTTGTATTTGATAACCTTCAATAGAAAATAAATGTCATTTGGGAAAACAAACCAGTAGAATAATTAATGACAAAAAGATGATGGCAGATTGAAAACTTGTATGTTGTCATTATTGTTTTTTTATTTTATTGTTTTCTTTTTCATAAAGTTCAATAATGCAACCTAGTTCAGGTCTAGTCACGATAAACAGAGATCAGTTTCGATATATCATATATGTAATTAATAATGTTGTAATAGTGTAAAGATACCAGTTTTGAAATTATAGCTTCTCAACCTCATCACCAATTAGATCAACTGTTTCAGCTTCACCAAGCAAAGTATCCTTGCCCTCTGTGCACCATATCCCATATGTACCCTGTATCAATAATCTTGAACCAAATTATTATCCTGTACAAAAAATATATCTAAAAATTTCAAATTTGACATCACTAACCTCTTGTAACAGATGGCTTTGACATTGATGTTTGTTTCTGCAATACACTCATCATATTGTACCTCTAGTTATCTTGGCCAATCTTCTAACCATGGTTATCCCATTTACAAACCTGCATATCTAGAAAAAAAAACAGAAGACTAAAAAATTGGAAGGAAGCAAAAAAGAAAAATGATTATATGTTGAACTTCACAGTAACACTTTTCATTTAGTTTTGCAAAATAATTCATCAACCACAAAAATTACAAAATGTATTGGACCATTTGGCAAAATTTGTTCAACTCGCATATGATTTTGACTTATTTAACTTATTTTATCTAGTTAACACTACCTATTTACTATCTATTAATTTTTAACAGATAACATTATGCCTATTAGTTCACAAAATCTTTATGCAACCACTTTTGAGTATGTTTTTTACACCTTCTAATAGACATGAGAAAGCATCATTACTTTGTACATCATTAAATACAGATAGAAGGAAGAGTTATTTGATATTTATGAAATCTTAGGTATTCATATGAAAGTGGAGGAACAGACTACATAAGAAAAGTTATACATTGATAACATAGAGAACAAATATCAAACAAGCTTACCTCCTCTAGGGTCGATGAGTCCATCCTCCTTACTCAACATCTTATTACATCTTAGGTGCCTTTTTTTGTAGACGATTCCATCAGATGGCCAATATTAACATCATCATAAAATAAATTATTCTAAAGTCAATATATAATAACAACATAATTAAATAAAATTGGCATACCATTATACCCTCGACAATTTGGGAAATCCATAGACAAAAATTGCAATTTATTTTGGAAATATTGTCACTGCAATGGAGTTCTTTGAATCATATTGCATGTGAAATCAGAAAAGAAGAGAAAATGGAGATTGGGGAGAAAGTAAGCGGGAAAGGGAATAACACTTATAAGCTTTGTTGAGATTTCTTTGCCAAAAAATAACATTGCCCCTGCTTCCTTTCTCAGCCTCGTGCTCTCCTAAAGGCACCAAGAATGCAAACTGTTAACCACACCCAAAATAATGGACATATCAAAACACAATGTATTCCTAACATCTTCTATATTCGGAATCAAAAGGTGGAATGGGTCCAAAGGAGATAATGGCAGAGGTCTTCTAAGCAACAGGGGAACATCACATAATCTTCATGCTGGAATAAAGAATTGCTCATATGAGGCTTTAAATTGATGTTACCTGAATAAATTTCTTGAGTTCTCCCGATTGTTGGACCTATATTACATGGCTGATTTTTCATTTTCAAATAAATATTTAGCTTCATCGGTGTGCAGGTGTACGATTATATAGGTGAATCGAAGTAAAAATCTAGAAGGACGATTATCAAGAAAGAAATTAGTTTCACAAGAGGAGATAAAAAGATGGTTATGTAGCTTACTTTGTATTTGATTTTTGGGATGCCAACCCACAATCACCATGAAGATCAGCAGGGCAAATAGGTGGAGCTTCACAAATCTATAAGCAATCAAATTGATGTAAATAACAGTAAAATCGAATGAAAGGATAGTAGAGAAAAAACACGTAAACCCAATGTAAGTGAACAGAAAATAAAGAATGCAATCAGCTCATACCTACCTTTGATATCCGTTTCCGATCCCTTGTACATCTTCAAAAGCGATTAAAACATCAAAAAAGATCTTCAGTTCGACGCATCTCTTTCTTGTGTGATTGAGTTAAAATCGAGAGAGCTCCCTGCATTTTGGGAAGATGAAGAGATACCTGCAACAATACATCAAATGGAATTAGGAATAAGACAAAACTAAGGGAAAGAAAACGAACTGGGATCGAGAGGGTGGGAGGGCTTTTGAGGGTATGAGTGGGGATTTTCTGTGGTCACACTGTCCTTTTACTCGCTTTCTTTTCTTCACATAAAACCCAATGCTTTCTTTTCCTTCACATTAAACCTAAAAAATAGGTGGAAGCCTTACTATCTTTTTTTTATTTTTTTTAAAAAATATATTTCCTATAAATATTATACTCATTTTGTAGGGATTTAAAAACTATGAGTTTTTGATATATATTTTTTTATAATTTTTAGTATGTATATAATTTAATAAATATTAAAAAAAATAAAAAAAAACGTTGGCCAATAAGAATAGAAGAGAGAGTGAGGGAATAGGCTCCCTCGCCTCTTTCCCTAACCATCTTTCCATCAGTCAATGAATGGTGTTCAGCTGTGAAGGAAAGCTTCCCTCACCTTTTTCCTCACTCATACCGTTCAGCCTTATACTCTTGACCAACACAACCTCCACACGCAATCACGTGGGAGGGAAAGAAACTGAGAACAGAGATCATGGGAGTTTGGAAGAAAGCACAGAAGCGGTGGGAAAGGGGGGTACGTAATCGATCTAGGATTTAAAGAACATGTTTGAAGAATGTGGAGAAGGAGGCGTCTGTGATGTATGGAGTTCGGCATCGAGCAGTAGAACCGCATAATAACTGTAAATAAGGAGTTTGAGAGGTTGTGATCAAAAAGTTGGTGGAGTTTGAACGGCTGAAATTTTGACGACGGTTTTTCCACTCACCGTCGTTAGTAGTAATAATAATAATATTTTTTTGACTTTGTAAGAATATTTTTGGGTTATGAGTCAAATGGTATTTATTTATTTGTTTGTTTATTTATTTATTGTGATGTAAACCTCATTCCTCGATTTTCGAGGCATCAAATTGTTTCGTGAAATTTTTCTGAAAATGTCTGCTTGTAGTCTCGGTCGTGGTGATTTCAAAAAGGCAAACAGAATTCAATTTCGATATACCAAACTCCATGAATTTATGTTTAAAGTTTCGCGATCAATAGAGTCGGATTCGACAAATTTTACGAATCTGATTTTGGTTAAAATTAAAAATGTTATAAAAATACAATAAAATAATATATCATAACCTGAATTCAAAAACATGTTCAAAAATAGTTTACGAGACTTGTGTCTATTCCAAACGAAGCATGCATGGTTTGTTTTAGGAAAATCAGATAAATACCGATTTTTGTAACTTCAAACCTCTGTTTTGGACGTTCTTTATATGCAAGAAGTCAGGAGAACATAATCTATTCAATTATCTTATCCATAACTCTCAGATATATCTGATGCAAAAAAAAAATAATAATAACGCGATAAATAAATTAAATTTTTGGTGATTTTCCATTTGATCTACAACGATAGATGGTCTGAGCAGTTTGATATGTTTTAAAAGAAATTATAAATATAATATATTTAATATATATTATAAACATAAAATTACACACAAATAGTCATTAATAGCTAGCGGTTCGCGGTGGTTTGACCGCCAAACTCTGACCAATTTTTACCAATTGTTACACAAACTGAGTAAGACTCGGAGTCCCAATACAGATGCCGAGATAGCGGAAATGAGTCGGGTTATATATGTTTCCGCCATTGGATCGATCATGTATGCTATGATACGTACTCGCCAAGATGTGACTTTTTCTTTGAGCATGGTTAGTCGATATCAGGGAAACCCGGGTAAGGCTCATTGGATAGCGGTTAAGAACATTTTTAAGTATCTACGAAGGACTAAGGACTGGGTCCTTATGTTTGGCGGTAGAGATTAGTTAAGAGTTACAGGGTATAGTGACGCCAACTTTCAGACCGACAGAGACAACTTCCGTTCTCAGTTAGGCTGGGTGTTCACCCTTAATGGAGGAGCTGCGACTTGGAAAAGTTCAAAGCAAAAGACAGTGGTTGATTCTACCCGTGAATCAGAGTACATTGCAGCAAGCGAAGAATCGAAAGAGGCTATATGGTTGAAAAACTTCATCGGAGATATTGGAGTAGTGCCAGCCATAAGGGAGCCTATGGAGATTTTCTGCGATAATGAAGGAGCGGTTGTCTTAACTAAGGACCGAAGGATCATGGCAGATCTAGACATATTGACAGAAAATACCATTTCATCAGACATCAGATAGAAGGAGGACTCCTCGTCGTTAAGAGGGTATCTTCAGAAGAGAATCCTGCAAATCCTCTCACAAAGGGTCTGAGTATGGTTAAGCACATTCAGCATGCGAGCAACATTGATCTAAATGATGATATTAGTTTTAGTGATAAGATATATATTTAGAAACTTGTAACAAATAAATGTAATTGACATTTGATGATTAAATAAATGGAGATTTTTTTAAGCATTGTTTACTATCTTTTGTCAATTGTTTATCACTGTGTTTCACTTTTGCATGTTTTACTTCCTAAATAATTGGATTATTCAAATTATCCACAACCGATCATACTTTGGAAGTAAGTAGTGAATTAAGACGGTCATGAATTGGCTTGTAGATTGTCTAAGTGTTTAGACATAGCAATGGTTTGCTGCAACGTTCATGAGTATTTTGGAAATTGGGATTTAAGTATTGGATTAAGCCCACTCTCATAGAATTACTTCATGGAATTTATCACGGGTAATTATGAGACGATAATATCATACAATCTTTAAACCGAGATATATGAGTTGTTGTTTACGAGTTGGTTGTGCATTGACAATGCGTAAACGCATCAGTAACTTGATGTTATAAAATGTATTGTTGTGTATGATTTTATTAGTAAATAGTACAAGCATATAAGTCAAAGTTTATCAGTTCCTTTTTCCCTAAGGGGAAAAAGCGATATCTTGGGCCCCTTAATGATTTGGTGTTGACTTATGTGCCAGGCTCGGTCGGGACTAAATTGATGTGTTCAATTAAGTTCTTTGTCATTACAAATCAGAAATCGGGAAACAAACTGTTGGACAATGAGAATGATTCTATTCTATGTCATTTGTGTTGGGTTTTGGTATAATACAACATCCTATGGTGCACATACAACCCTAAATACCTTGGATCTATGTTTTCACTAATTATACATGCAAATGGTTTCCAAGGCATTAAACCTATAACTAGCATGCATTTGACATAAACCATATAATATACTAGTTAGGGAAACATACCTTTTATGTGGCTTAAAGTCTTGATGTATTTGGCCTTAAGAGCTTAGCACCAATAGTATGAAATTCCTCAAATGGAATCACAACACACCTAGGACAAAGGTGGCTCTTGAGAGAGAATTGCATGCACCAAAACACCTCCATATTTCTCTAAGAAAAGAAGTGGTGATTTTGGCTATGGAGTAACCTATTTATATGTAGGATTCCAAGGGTCATGGGTATCACCCATAATCCATACCCATGGGTTTTATGATCCATGGTTCATGTGGCCCAACTCTTTATGTATCCATACATAAACTTGGTCCAACATGGATCATAAGCCCAACACATATAAATATAAATAATTATCATAATTAGTCCCCATAGATTTAATTAGTCTCTTTTGATCACTAAATTAATTCCAAATTAATTCTTGATCGATACTAATTAAAACATATGATTTCATATTAATATATTATAACTTATAATATATTAATAAACCATAAATAACCTTCTCTCAAAAGTCCATCCTAACAAATTGTCCTGATGATATGCAACCCAAATGGACCATGCTACTCTCGGGTCAAGTACATACCAATAATAGTTATGGGCTTAGACATCTAATCCAACAGTCTCCCACTTGGATAAGTCTAAAACTATTATTACAAGTACGACTTCATAACTCGACTAGCAATCGTAGCTCTTAAAGCCGCTGTCGAACTCTGAACAAATCAATGACGCGTCCATTAGATAAGGGATCATATATTCCTCCATTCTAGATATCATATGGACTGAGACATGGATTATAATCATTCTCTCTATCCATTTGTTGTTTCCCGATTTCTGATTTATGACGACTGACTAATTGAACAAATCAAATCAGTCTTGGCCCGGTCGAGCACTTCCATTTGTCATCATCAAATCATCGAGGGGCCCACAGATATTGCTTTTATCCCGAAGGTAAAAGGAATGGATAAACTTCGACTCATATGGCTTGTTCTACTACTTGTTGAATCATACACAAAGGCACGTTTTATAACATCGAGTTACCAATGTG